AGCACCTGTATTGTTTGCAGAATTGTTATCCTCTCCGTTTGCTCATAGCCTTTGTTTTAAAAATTGCTTACTTGTTGTAGAATGTTACTTCTTAGCTTATGCATGCACGGGGTATAAAAAGGAGCAAGGCTCTCAGAGTTTAGAGAGAGACAAATTTAATTTGCTTACTTGGAAACACCACAAAGTTGCTCAAATCTTTGTTACTTTTTCCTGTGATAAAAGAAGTTTGCTATGTGTGAGTCTGAAGTAGAGACCTGGGAAACATTATTAGTGACAGAGCAAATCAACGGGAATGTGACAGCTTCTAGAGTTTGTTGTTCAAGATTCTTTTTGAAATCGATATAATTCAAGGGATAACAAACAGGAGATCATTTATGGCTAATACAAGTTTATTCATGTTACCAAATAATTCACCTACTCATTTCAGACCAGGACAAAATGACCAAATGAAGTTAATGATCAAATTAGACTTTGTCTTTAAGAAAACCTCAAGCTTCCCCCAAAAGCTTTGCATTGTATTGTGTTGCGTTGTGTTGTGTTATATTTTACAGACGTCAGAGTGGTGACAGATCCAGGTTTGAATACAGGAAGATATGTGGGCAAGTCTCTCCTCTGACACCTGCTGGCTATGTGGCTACGTCCTGGGCACATAACCTCTCATTGCCCTAGGCCAGGCATCAAACTCCAATAGAAACAGGACTACTAATCCAAACATAAGGATCCCTACTAGCTGCATATTGACTTAATTTTAGGTTGTAATATATTTTATCTGTATTTTTATTAGATGTTTTAACTGTAGTCCCAAAGTGGAAATTAAGGGGGTGCCCACCTACTGGAGAATGGCTAAATAAACTGTGTCATGTGAATGGAATGGAATATTAATGTGCCCTAAAAATGATGAAATGCATGATTTTAGAGGAAACTCAGAAAAAAAACTCTCTGAACTGATGTAGAATGAAGTGAGCAGAACCAGGAAAACAATTTAAACAATGACAACAACATTATAGAGAAAAGCCACTTTGAAAGACTGAGGTCACTGGTTAGTGCAATGATAAGCCTTGGATCCAAAAGAGTGAAGAGAAATCATGCCATCGTCTCCTACCAGAGAGATGATGAATTTAAAATCCAGAATGAGATATGCGTTTTTGAACACCACAAATGTGAGAATTTGTTTTGCTAGACTGTGCATGTTTGATGAGAAGTTAAAAAAAAATCAGTTTGGGAAGAGCAGTGGGAAAGATAATAATGAAATGTTTTAAAAGAACATGGAATGTTAGAACACAGTGTTAGAGAAGGGAGGAGCATTAGAACATAGAATGTCATAGATGGAAGGGGTTTTCCTTCAAACAAAGATGTTGTCATTTAAAGGGGCTTTTCTTAAGACAGGAATTATATAACTGAAACAATTTTAGAACAAAGAATGTTATAGTAGGAAGAGGCCTTAGAATATAGAATGTCATTATCAGGAGGGGCTGTAGTACACACAGGATGTCAGAACTGGAAGGGGTCTTAGTCATTCAGTCATTCAATAAGCTTTCCTACTATGTGCCAGGCACATAGACACTCCGGATACAAAAAGAAGCAAAAGATGGTCCCCTCTCCCAAGGAGCTCATAATCTAACGGGAGAGACCACAAGCAAACAAATGTGGACAAACAAGCTATATATAGCATAAATAAGAAATAATTAACAGAGGTAAGGCACTAGAATTAAGAGGGTTTGAAGAAAGGCTTCCTGTAGAAGGTGGAAATTTAGTTTGGAAGTGAAGAAAGCCAGAGAAGCCTCAGGGATGATCTAGTTCAATACTCTTCACCAGACAGGTGATTCAATCAAGTCTCAGTAGCTTGAGTTTGGGAAGGAAAAAAAAATGCCCCAGAAAAGTTGTTACTTTGGAACTGATGACTTTCCTAGATAAATTTTGTGAATGCAGACTGTGCTATCCCTAACTTACATCTATTCTAGGAGGTTAAACCTAAAATACCTGCCCCCTCTCATATCATATCAAGCTTGAAATCCCTAGGACTCTAAATCGGAACATTGAAACAGCTGCCCCAAACACACTTGGAGTCAGAAATACTACCCCTGGGAAGGGACAGTGTGTTGAAAAACACCATTTGGCTATCATCAAGGACTTGGTATACAGCAAGCAAGCAAATCAGAGAGCTGTTCTCCACTCTAACCCAGTAGGCCACAGTCCTTTGTATTCAACATTTCCAAAAATCCAGGCCCTAGTCTAGCCAACCGACACAATCATTTCTTTCACTGACTCAAGTCCCAGTGCATCCTTGTCTTAGATTAGAAAGTGGTCATCCTGAGTCACTGTGGCAAGATTAAGAAATTAATGGTGAACAACAGACACAAGTCATTTGCTCTGTTCCTCCTCCCTCCAACCATGGAGACTGCACAGTCTGGTAAAATCTGTGGGAGTTCCGGAGACCTGGCCTTGCCAACTGAGGGTCAGCTAAGCAGCATTCTAAGGCGTCAGAAATGGACTTTAGTGAGGGGTTGCATAGGATGTTACAGAATTAGAGATTTCCTTAGAAGGAATCTTGGGAGTCATCTGTACAACTCGACCATTTTATGGCTGTGGAAACTGAAGCCTGGAGGTGACTTAGCGAAAGATCCCAGAAGCAGGAAGTGGCAAAGATGAGATTTGAACTCAGGACCTCTCACTCCAGGTCCACTGGCTTTCCCCATCATGTCCTGTTGCCCTCTCTGGGATTTAGTGTTCATGTTTCTCACAGAGACTGATGTTGACAAAATGCTACCTCTGACCTTTTATCTGGAACTGAGTAGGGATATGATTTCATTTCATTCGCAGTGGTCAGCCTTTGTCCAAGTAATTAACTTCTTACAAACAGTAGGTTTCCAGATTCTAGCCATCTCTCTAACAGTCGATTTCTCCCTTAACTTAGGATTGTCCCTGGTCACTTTCTCGATGTGGCCAAGTACAAAGTCTCATATCTGGCCAGCTTCCTCAGCTACAGCTGCTCATGTGTGACTGATTATGTGGTTAACATCTTCAATGCTACAAATAAATTCTGGGAAAAAGGTTGTCCTACTGGGTGTGGGATTGGGCTCCTGAAACTCTCCCCCAACTACTCCAATCATCCTTTGAAACTGGAAAATGCCAGACTCCCTGCTCGACCTGCTTTGGGAGAGTAATAATAGCTAGCATTTATATAGTGCTTTAAGTAATATGAAGTGATTTATAAATATTATCTCATTTTATCTCATCCCAACAACCCTGGGAGGTAGATGTTATTATTATCCCTGATTTTTACAGGTAGGGAAACAGAATTAGACAGAGGGTAAGTGACTTGCTGAAAGGTCATGTCAGATTGGAACTCAAGTCTTCTTGAACTCCAAGTCTGGAACCCTATGCATGGAGCTAGTCTAAATATGTCAGTGATATTAAAAAAAATAATGGGGAAGTTTTCTCTCCTCAATCCTACTAACCTCTTCAAAACCTTGATGTTTTATTCTGTGTACATCCAGTCCATAATTTCCTTCACATTTTATAATGTTCTCTTTCTTTTCTTGTCCTTCCTCTCTTTTTTCCTTTTTATTTTTTTCTTTTCCTTTTTTCTTTCATTATCCCTTCCTCTCTGGTGATTTTTCTTCCCCTTTCTTTTTCCTCTTCTTCCTCTTCCTTCCTTCCTTTCTCTCTCTCTCTCTCTCTCTCTCTCTCTCTCTCTCTCTCTCTGTCTCTGTCTCTCTGTCTCTCTCTCTCTCCTCTATCATTATATAGAGAAAAGGTGAGATTTGGAGGTGTTGTGACTGTTTAAATAAGCATATTAAGATACCTATTAGTGGTTGGCTTGATTAGCTGCCTCGCTAGAAGAAACCCTTTCCCTCCATTGGTCCAGCATCAGCGGGGTAGCTGGGAGCTTCGTAGGTCACGAAGCCTGCCTGCACTGACTGCAGAGACACAGCTGCTGGGGCTGGGGCTGGCACTGTCTCCCTTCCTCTCCAGTCCGGTGATGGAACAAGGAGCTCGGCCCCCAACCCCCATATACTTGCACCCCAGATGTGCCAGCCTTCTTTTCCGTATGAGTGGTTTATTTGTTGGGGAGGATTATTTTATTTTATTTTATTCTATTTTTAAGGCTATGGCTAACCGAGGCAGGTGATGCGGGAGCAGACAGAGACAAGACAGAGGCATGGACACGCCAGGGCACACAAAGCCCGAGTCAAGGGCTGTTCCCAGGGTGGGGCTTTGAGGCCAGGGAGAAGAGAGGACCCGAGAGTCTTCCCAGGACCATCTTGCTCTTCGGGGAACCTCGGGTAGCCATTTTCTAGAGTGATTTTGGCTTTTGTCAAGGATGCAAATGCAATGCTTGCAAATGATGGGGTCCTCCCTTGCTCCCCTATTCTGCTCTGCATACCCCGAGCCCACTCCTGCACAGCCCGCAATTCGGGGGGAGGAAAAGCGTAGCTAATAAAAACGATCAGTCAATAGGCATCCAGGGTGCCGTTCTCGCAGCCCGGTCCCCCCCCTCCCCGCCTTGCCCCTCGCCACTGCGTTCAGTGCAAGAGCAATCGGGGCTCGGGTGGCGGGTCTCCCCCTTCTCCGCCCGCGCCGCAGCGGACGGCGCGTCAGAGTCCCCCCTCTGGCGCAGTGCATGCTCGCCCGCAGCAGCCGAAGGATGCGGGCGAAAACACTGGCACGCCGAAAAACGGGCCCGCAGCAGTGGCCCGGGCCTCGGCCTCGGGCAGCCTGTGGGTGCTGTCGCTTTAAATCGCCCACACGCGCGTCCACACACTCACACACACACACACACGGAGACACACACGGGCAGACACCCGCGAGCGCGCCCCCCTCCCCATAGCCGCATGGGCATTCCACACGTGTGTGCGGGCTCGCCGGGCCGTGGCAGGCATGCGGTAGTGCTTACTGTGTACGAGGGGGAAACAGAGGGCCCTGTCCCCCCGCCCATCCCCACCCTTTCCTCCAGCACCCCGACCCACCGCCCCACCCTCACCCTTTGCTGTGGGACCCGCGCCGGCGATGCAGCCTGAGGAGAAATCAAGTCTGAACAAAGCTAGACTGAGCGACAGTCACGTCTCAGGGCAAGTGACTGGCGTTGAGTGCAGCCTCTGGAAGGAATCCGATCACTTACAAGCCAAACAAAGCCCGCTTTCCTCTCGGTCACTTATTTATTTATTTATTTATTCATGTTTTAAGACGGGGGAGAAATGCGCACTTTCGGTTCAGCCCGGCTAACCCTCTACCTCGCCGAGGCGTACGCGTGTGGACAGAAGCCTGCGGCGGCTGCGATTGCTAGGGGGAAGGACGTGCGGTGAAGACATGCCCGGGGAAACGTCTGAAAGTAAGGAAGGCGTGAGACGGCCTCTGCTGTGTTATATGTTGTATGCCAAGCATGGAATGAGTGCCTGGGTTCTTGGTCAGAATGTCTCTGCTCGGTGCAGCGGGGGTGTAGCGCGGGGCCAAAAAACCAAAAACCAAACCCTAGTCTGGGAGCCAGGACTACTGGGTTTGCGTCCCAGCTCTGCCCCTAAACAGCTGTGTGACCTTGGGCCAGTCACTTCCTCTCTTTGGGGTGCGGTTTCCTCCTCCTTCCCATGAGGGGGTTGCGCTCTCGGGTCCTATCCAGCTCGAACATCGTCCGATTCCGGGCTGGTAGTGAGGAAGCTAGGTTCTAGAGCTCTCCCTCGTTGTAAATACACGTCTATACCCTTAGAATTAGAAAATTGATGACTTCAGCGTTCGGGTGGCGGTAGCACCCAGGAAAGTACCTGCAGGAAGGGTTGTTATTGGTTCGTCCCCGATTTATTCCGCATGGAACGCTATTTGAGGAGGAGGGTCACACAATCTGATTATCACATGATGGGAGAAGGGGGTGGGAAGCTGACTTCCTTAAAGGTAACGGCCAGGATCTGCAAGGAGGAGTTTCAGAAGCACTTTAGGCTTATAATACTCCAGTTTATTTGAAAAGTTACAGGCTCTGTCTCCTTAGGAGGAGTAAAAGACTCAAGTCTGATCACTGAGCAATGGAAGTAAGAAAAAACGATTTGGAGAGAGGGAAAAAATTCCTTGGGAGGGAAATTTTAATGAATGAACGAATTAATGAAAAAAAAACACTATTTATTTAGCATTTACTACATGCCAAGCATTGTGCTAAGCTTTGGGGGATATAAAGAGAAAACTGAGAATTTCTGGCTCTTAAGGGGCTCACACTCTCTTGGGGAAAGAATGGACCAGATTATTTGGTTAATTTCCATGCTGTCTACTTCTACTGTGTAGAGGAAGGGCAAGGACAGGGCCCAGTCTGGGACCACAACAGTGCATGCACTACAGGCCCCATACTCCACCCTAGGTACAGGAATAGCAGACCTGATCAGCCTGAAAGAGATTTGTTTCTGTTTCTATTGGCTGGCTTTTGTGATGGTACATACACTACTCAGCTGTATGATTAATACCAGACCCCAATGTTTTCTAACTCAGTCAATCTGACCCCCTTCATTAGCTACAAAAATGGGAAGGGGGAGAATTCGGCAGAACCAGGGCTAATGTTTTATCTGGTCCAATCGTGCTCAACAAGTATACATGACCTTTTCAGGGGAGAGGGAAAGAAAAAAATCTTTGAAGAAACTCTTTGAAAATATCAGGTCCCTTAAGTGAAGCTAGCTTATAACTATGTCTCTATCCCATTTACTCTCTTCCTTGCTGTCCACCTCCTCTCCAACCCATCACCTCCTTCTTTGAGGAGCTCAGAGTGTGATAAATACAGTTTGGTTCCAAAGCTCTTCTTGGCACTGTCTCCCATCTCGTCAGGAGTGGTTTAATGAAAAATAAATGGGATTCTGGGTCTGATTTTGTGGAACATTCTGAGTCTTCTTCCTGCCTCCTCCCTGTCCTGTAACCCCTCTGGGCTTCAGTTTCTTCATTTAGAAAATAAAGACATTGGCCTGGATGACCTCTAAGGTCCCTTCCACGTGATTCACCTCCTAGCTTAATGAAAAAAGGAGTCTGGGATTGAGTGAAGGAGATATAATGCCTATGGAGACAACTCCACGGTTCTGTTTGGGAGTTATGGTAGGGGGAACAAGGTAGTTTTGATAGAAGTGTGGGTATTAGGCTGTTCCAGTATGGAGTTAGGCAGGGACCTCCTTAATGCTAAATACTGGAATCCTGGAAGAGTTAGGTCATTGCCCCCTCCTCTTTTTAAATCCATACAACTTATTAAAACTGAATTTGCTTTCCTCAGCTGGATGCCAGAGGTGTTAGAAATGTCAGCCAGGTGCATCTCAGGCTGGGTTTCTCCCCTGCCAGGCCCAGGCAGGAGAAAAGGGAAGTCTGATGATTTTATCCTTGCAGGCCAAAGATTGAGGGGGTTCTAGGTAGTACCAGATGCTGGTAGAAGTGCCCAACTCTGACCAAAGCATCCTGCCTGGATCCTGAAGGCAATTTTCTTGGATCCGAACATGACCACAATCAAACATCATCCCTCAGTCAATCTAATTAACACAAGAATTAAATAAATCCCAAATCCTCGGTTCTGTGCCCTCTATAGCTACCCTTTACCTGCTTCCTCTCCTTCTGACTTTGGGTGGGTGGGCTATATTGAAACAGGAAGCACTCCCAAAATGGCCTTAGCAAATAGCCAGGGTTGCAACAATCTCCCCCCCACACACACACCTTAATGTGAAAGCAATTGACCCTTCCTCTTTCTCAGCTGATGATTTCCCAAAGCTGAAACTCTGAAGAAATTATCAGAATAGAACAGAGACTATGGCATGGGAAATAAAGAAGCCCCCTATTTCTCCTCCCTGCCAAAATTCCCTTTCTATCCTTTCCCACACTACACACCCTCCCTCCATCCTTTTAAAAAATAAATAACTGTCCTAGTGTACTTTTTTTTTGCAGGGGGGAATATCCTGAGACCTCCTATATGGAGAGGTCTGGAGACTATTTCATTTGCCCCTTTTAGTACAATGATTTCTCTCAGACAGTCCTAGCTCAGTGTACTAAAGTGATCAGATTCGAAGGGAACTTTCTTGTAAGGAAAATACTGTAACAGAAAGTTCAGCAGCCAGGTGGGTTATTGTTTCCAGCCCTAGCTCCAACCCCTCCCCCAAGTTAACTCCAACATGGAGGGAAGGGTTGGGGAGCTAGGATCATGAGAACTGGGGGCTTTAGGACTGAAAGGAGGATGTATTCCCCTGGTAGGAAGAGAGAGCTGAGGAGAGAGCCCAGAACCAAGTGGGGGAACATGCAAAGAGAGTATTCCCCCTCTTCCCTCCCTTGCCCTTCCCCAGAAAAATCCTCTCATGAGAGCTAAAAGGAGACGCTGTTTCTTACTTTCATCTTGAAAGTTGTAAAACTTAATTCTTCTGAATGATCTTTCGACAAAAGATGGTGAGATACACAACACAGTAGTGTACTTTGAAAGAAAGGCTCTCTAACTCTCTCAACTTAGTAATGGCAACCAGTGAAGTGAAAATTTTTCTCCGCTTCCCCCATACCCTCCTTCTATCTCCTCCCTCCCCCAAGTAGGAACCCTGGAAACTTGGCCAAGACTGGGCCTAGATCTAAACATTAATTTGTGATTAAACCAACTCAGCAAACTTCTTGCCAAACTCATTTCCAGGGTGTCTTGTAAAAAGAGGCAGTAAGTTTGGGTTGATTTTTTAAAAATTCATTTCATGTATGCCTGATTATTATGACTCCTATTAATATTTTTAAAGTCTGGTGATTTAAAAATTGTTGTCTTCCAGTGAAGTGGATCCTATCTAACCCTTCTCTTGTCCCAAGCCCTGGCACAGAGAGCAAGATTCTTTCAAGAAAAGAGTCCTCTTCACCTCACACTTCTAGAGTTTGTGAGATTGCAATATATCTCCAATTTTTAAGAAACTTTTCACAGAAGTAGAGTCTCTGAGAGTGACTTTCCATCAGTGCATGGAAAAGCAAATCTTCTTTCAAGATAGGGTCCAGCTGAAGAAGGCGATCAACGATTTAAAAAAAAAGTGTCCCTTTCCAATTAGTAACTGAACCACAGTTTTTAACTTCTGAACCGCAAAGTCTTTCGATTGTGGGGCTGCGAAGCCCGTAGATTGGGGTGACTGACTCCCTGGAGGCCGGCAGAGACTATGAAAACAACAGACCTCCAGGGTTGCTGGGAGAAAGGCAAAGTTTTCACCACTTCTCTGCAGCCAGATCAGACTTCCCCAGGACCAGTCGCGCGCGCACGTGTTTTGTAACTGTCTGGGGTGGAGGGAGTGGGGAAGCTGGGAGTGCCCCTCACACTTTGACACGGAATAACCATTCTGAAAAAACCTTTACTCTCTAGCTGGATGGTAGGATCGCCTCAGATCTTGGGAAGGTGTGTGCAGATACACGTTCGTGGGTGGGTGCCCATTCTGGCCAGACACTCGGGCTCTGAGAGCAAAAAATTCGTCCAGATTCTGTCCACATCCTTCCTCGGATGTCTGGATTTGGACACACCACGAAGCCTTAGCGTTCTCTCTGTTTACGTTTTGTGTGTTGCATGTTAGAGGCACCGTCCCGGACGAGTTTGCCGCTTTCCAGTTTCACGGACACACGGGTTTCGTGGGGCTCTGAAAAGGTCCCGCAGCTGCAGAAATCAGGACAAAAAGTCGGTAGCCCCGGCAGGGGTGAAAAGTTTGCAAAGAGATGTTTGTAGAGATCAAGAGAGTAATCTATTTACAACTCCCCTTGTACCAACGATTACTGAGCTAAGATGCGTCGGCCGCCGCGCTGGGGCTTTTTGCAGACTTTGAGGCTAGTTTAAAATGTTTGCTCTAGGAAAGCAGGGGGTTATCACCACAGCCCTCTTTCTCCTCTTTACATCACCTCTTAAACCTAGTAACCCGGCCTTCCGACGTTCCTGTCCCTTGTGAGGACACCCCACAAAATTTGGCGGTCTGTTAATATTCCTCTCCAGAGCTATTTGCAAGTTTATTTATAGTTTCTCCTGCGCCGGGACACGCTTTAGTTTCTAATTGTGCGGCTTATAACCGCTGCGAGGGTTAGTCATAGGGGAGCCCTGGAGCAATTGACTGGTTTTCACCCTAAAGAAATGTGTAAAGGGGTGCGGAAGTCACATTTTATTTTCCTGCCGAATCTCGAATCTCCTGTCCCCTTTCCCCCGGCACACTCTGATAATTTCTTGGCACTGAGCAGCTGCATGGATATAGGAAACACTGATGTACACGGTCTGTTATCTTTGTTTAACATCAGGGGGATTACTTCAACATGCCAATTCCAGTTTGTTTTATGAAAGAAAGAAAGAAAGAAAGAAAGAAAGAAAGAAAGAAAGAAAGAAAGAAAGAAAGAAAGAAAGAAAGA